ATTGCATGCAGGTTTTGATTAGACCGACATGTAATCAACTGCACACGTACATGTCTACATAATCTTGTGCATACATATACATATATATATATACATGTGTGTGTATGTGTGTATACATACATACAGATGTAGCGACAGACATGTATGCATACATGCCTCCACATGTGTGCGTACTGCAGTGTTGCGCGAGACAGAGTAAGCTCATGACGTGGTGTATAGTGGTGTATGTTGTAGTCTCATGCTTAGGTATCGGCATGATCTTCTCATTGCCATGGCTCGTCCAGAGCGCCCTAAACTAAACTGTAGCTGTAAACCTTAGACAGTGAACCTACATCCTAACTAAACTCTGCACACGTTCTGCGCTTCGGAGGATGGCCCAAGCATAAACAGCGCCAGCTGAAGGGCTAGCGTTGTGGGTCTAAGGTTGAGACCCTTTGGGGGGGTAGGGGGAGGGCGGGTTGGGGGCTTTAATGCCCATAATAAGGACCTAATAAGGCCTATTTAAGGAAGTATAGTCCCCGACCCTCCCTACGATTTCAGGTTGAGACCCAGAGCTCCAAAAGCCAAAGCCTTCAAGTGAGGACTCGCTAGTCTAACGTTTCCTCAAATCTCAGGCCAACCGAAATCCAGAATTCCAGAACTTTGGGGTTTAGGCTTTAGGGTTTAAACTGCAGTAATTAAACCTTAAACCCAATTAAATTTCGGGTTTAGGGTTTAGGCCTTAATTCCATGAACGTGCCTATAACACTCCTTATGTTAATGTAGGAGCCTGATTAAGAAATCTTGGGCCTTTATTAGGGTTCCTTATATGAACCCTACTATTTTGGGGTTATAGGGCCAGGATTTCTTAATCAGGTTCCTACATTAGTATAGTATCCTGAAAGATCCCTTATAGGAACCCTTATAGACCCCTTTAAAGGGAAGCTATAAAGGTTCCTACATTATCCCAGTCTTGCAGACTTTCTCCGAGCTTCCTGAAGGACCAAATGACCCTGAAAAGTAGGGGCCCTATGCCCATATACTACTGTTGATGGACAAAATCCTGCATTACCCCTTATAAGGAATATACCATAATTCCCATAGTTTAGAGTCCTTAGGGTCATGCAGGATTTTGTCCATCAACAGTATGAATCCCTTATATGGTATATGAACCTTAAAGCCAAGCCCTCCTGGTAGGCCGGCGCCAGCCAGGGCACTGTGACGGCAACCAACCGACGCGTGATGTCACAGGAGGAGCTTTCGGATTGTCTTGGGTCGAGAGCCCCAAAAGCCTTCGGTTAGAAAGTAGACTTGAGGCTTGGGGGCTCTAACCGAGAGCCCCAAGAGCCTTCAACTAGAAAGTAGACTTGAGGCTTTAACAGAACACTTCAAAGTCTGAGAAGTTTGTTATTCTGACTGACAGAGTGTTCCTTCAACCGGGAGTATTGGTCGTTTTAGGCCCCCGGTCAATGCCTGAGGATCCGACAGCCAATCTGAGGTCAGTCTAATGGTTTAGCTCTTTGATGAGTCACAGTGTGACCCGAACATGATTCATGAATGTGTGGAGATTGGCAAGCTGATACTGGTAATACAGGGGCTTCGATGATTATCTATACTATTTTGGGCGTTCCTTAATAGAATTATGGTATACTGGGCCCCAAAACCCTATTCTAATTGTTAAGGCTTCTATATTATGTTGCAGAGGCCCAGACATAGGTGAAACAACAGGAGTACCAGCAGTACTTGGCATCGCTGGGACAGGTGTGGCACTGAGTGCATGCATCGTTTCAATCGGACATTGTCCCAGGCATTGTCTATAGCGTTGTCATTGTGATAACTTCGGGGGATGTCGTTCACAATTGTTCCGTTGATTTGCATCATGTCGTTTCATTGTCGCTGCCGCAGATGCTTAACGGCTTAACATGTTTTCGTTATGACAGCCTTTGCCATCGTCACCATCATCATCATCATCACACCAGCATCATCATAACCGTCAACATTCTCAACACCATCGTCTCCCCTTTTTGTTGATCATCAACATCACCGTCGCCCTTGTCATTTGCAGCAGTTTCATCATAATCCTCATCCTCATCGTCATCACTCCCCTTACCAACATCGACACCGTCAACACCGTCCGTGCGGTGCTGGCAACCTCGGCACCAGTTTCAACGTCATCGTGATTCGGGCACAATTATTTGGCTCGACAGAACCCTACCCTCATCTTGAGCAGTCTCGACTGCTTCTGCTTCTGCTTCTGCTTCTGCTGCTGCTGCTGCTGCTGCGAGAAGAACAACAATAACAACGGCAACAACAACACAAGGGCAGTTCCAGCTACACCAACAAAAACACTAATAGCACCGTTATCGGCGCCTTTAACAACGCCATTAACAACATCAACAACAACATTGAAGGCAACAGCAACAACTACAGCAAAATCAACAGCAGCTGCAGCAGCAACAGCAGCAGCAGCAACAGCAACAGCAAAAGCAACAGCAGCAGCAGCAGCAACAGCAGCAGCAATAGCAACAGCAAAAGCAGCAGCAAAAGCAAAAGCAACAGCAACAGCAACAGCAAGCATCAGCGACGGCAACAGCAGCAGCGACAGCAGCAGCGACAGCAGCAGCGACAGCGACAGTGACAGCGACAGCAACAGCGACAGCGACGGCGACAGCAACAGCAACAGCAACATCAACAACCACTACTACTAGCCCCGCTACTACTACTACTACTACTACTACTACTACTACTACTACTACTACTACTACTACTACTACTACTACTACTACTACTACTACTACTACTACTACTACTACTACTACTTACTACTACTACTACTACTACTACTACTACTACTACTTACTACTTACTACTTACTACTACTACTTACTACTTACTACTACTTACTACTTACTACTTACTACTTACTACTTACTACTTTACTACTACTACTACTACTACTACTACTACTACTACTACTACTACTCTACTACTACTACTACTACTACTACTACTGCTACTACTACTTACTACTACTACTACTACTACTACTACTACTACTACTACTACTACTACTACTACTACTAGTACTACTACTACTACTACTACTACTACTACTACTACTACTACTACTACTACTACTACTACTACCACTATTCTCACTACCATGCCACTGCCACTGCCGCCGCCCTGCCACTGCCGCTGCTACTGTTACTACAGACTTCTAGTGCTACTACGTCTACGACGACGACTACGACTGCGACTTCGACCACTACAACGACTAGGACTGCGACGGCTGCGGCTACGACTACGGCATGGGCGAGCAATACGATGGCTAATCCGACAGCAGCGCGACGACTAAACCACGGCCACGAGGACCAAGGCGACAGAGACGACGCCTTGTACAGGACGGACGGTTGATGATATAAATCCTGCATGACCTTAAGGGCCCTAAACTATGGGAATTATGGCATATTCCTTATTATGGGTCATGCAGGATTTATATCATCAACCGGAGTACCACGTACTGGAAGTTATCGGAGCACCCGGAGTAGTAGGAGTTCAAGGAGTAAGTCGAGTAATGCGAGTAAAGCGAGTAAAGCGAGCATTTCGACTTCTTCGAAGAAGACGAGAACAAGATGCCGGTGGGCTACTACCACTACAAAGTGCTGGTACTGCTACATCTACTGCTGCTACTACCGCTAGCGGCTATTGCTACTGCTGGTACTGCTTTCTACTGCAGCGAGTCTTGTTTTATCATTTTTGCTCGCTGTGTCATGGCATGTTTTGTTGGCTTGATGTGCTTTGGCGAATGTTGAAATAAGCTTTCAGAGCTGGGCTTGCGCAGGTCAGCGTGGGACCGGTGACCTATGCCGGCGGACAGCCGACCACCACCGGAGCAGTGACATACACCACGGGAGCTCCGATCACCTATGGAGCTCCGATGGCCAGCCCGGCCCCGGTCACATACACAACGGGGGCCCCCGTGACCAGCTCGGCACCGGTCACATACACCTCTGCGAGCCCGGCCCCAGTCACGTACACAAGCGCTGCGCCGGTGACGTACACGGCTGCGAGCACCCCGGCCCCGGTCACGTACACAAGCGCTGCGCCGGTGACGTACACGGCTGCGAGCACCCCGTACACGACAGCAGCTCCGATTACCAGTGCTGCGCCGATCACGACCGTGGTGCCGACCTCAGGCTCTCTGATGTCGGAATGTCCGAGCATTCGTGGAAGCAGCCGGGCATCAGTGATCTAAAGGCTAATGCAATACAGGGCTTTGTGTTGAGATCGGAGTTGTGGCGACGATCATAGCCGCCTTGCTCCGGTGCTTTTCTTAGTAAGCCACCAACCCTATAATTTCTGTTTCCATCCAACAGATGTGGCTCAAAAGCAGTGCATGCCGTTTGACTTATCAAGCATTCTGTGTATGCTGTACCAGTTGTGAGAGAGCTGGAAGTTTGACGATTGCAGCTGGATACCGTACTGGTCCAGGCTGTTTGCATTCGAACGAACCTTTCTTTTCGTGTCATGGGCTGCGGGACGTTGCAATATCTTTGTTAGGGAAGACGGTGACTCTCGGAATAAGCTCTGAATCGTCCACGGAGCTTTTATGTACCGCTGAGCATGAGCAGTGATGTAAGGTGCAGGCGGCTACCTCAGAGACGGCACCAACGGGTTCTTCCGTGCACTATTCCCAGCCACAGCCCGTCACCTACACGGTGACATCGCCTGCTGCAGCGGTTGTGCCGCAGGGATCCTCGGTGAACTACTCGCCACAGCCCGTGACCTACACCCTACCGCCTGTGACGATGGGTGCCAGCTCCTCGGCAGTGTATGCAGCTCCCCAAGAGCAGCCGCAGCAGCCTATGATCTATGCTGCCCCGGCCGAGGCACCGGCCCCTGTTCCCACCCCAGCCATCTACGCTGCCCCTGAGCAGCAGCCCATGACCTATGCTGCACCGGCTGCAGTACCCACCCCAGCTCCTGCACCTGCCATCTATGCCGCACCGGCAGCAGAAATGACACCGGCTCCTGCACCGGCGATTTATGCAGCTCCTGAGCAGCAGCCCATGACCTATGCTGCGCCCGCTGCAGAGCTGAGCACGGTGATGAGCTCACCGGCAATTTACGCAGCACCGGAGCAACAGCCAATGACCTACGCTGCACCTGCTGCCACTCTTCCAGCTAGTGCACCTGCTGCCATTTATGCAGCCCCTGAGCAGCAGCCAATGACCTATGCTGCCCCGGCCGCTGAACCGACCCCTGTGTCCGTCCCAGCCGCGCCAGCCATTTATGCAGCCCCGGCGGCAGCCCCCGAAATCCCTCCGGTGTATGCTGCACCGACCTCGTTTGCATCTCCTGCCATGGAGATGCCAGCGGTGTATGCCGCCCCAGCCAGCATGGAAATCCCAACCACGGTCACCTATGCCCCGGTGCAGGGCTCATCCCAAGCTGCCGCTCCGATGACCTATGCCGTGCAGGGCTCATCCCAAGCTGCCGCTCCGATGACCTGTGCCGTGCAGGGTTCATCCCAGGCAGCAGCTCCAATGACATCTTCGGCCGCTGCCGCCGCTGCCGCACCGATCCAGACCAGCGGCGTAGTCTATTCCTCGCAGCCGCAGCCTGTGTCTTATCCGACCTACACTTACACAGCGCAGCCTGCCCAGACCTATAGCTATCCGACCTACACTGCCCCGCCTCAGTATACGTACACTACTGCTGCCGCCGCACCCACCTTTGTGCCCACCGTCGGCAGCCAGCCGTACACGTACACCTACGCTCCCCAAGCGGCCGCTCCGATCGCAACAACCACTGTCGCTGGCGGAGTGCGGGCCTCAGGCTGAAACAGGGTTTAGGCTTCCGGTCTTTAGAGGTTTGACATACTGGTGAGTCGGGAAATTGTGTGTGTATATATATATATATATACATATGTATGTATATAATGTAATATAGAGTAATATAGATAGTTATAAGTAAATACCCATATTTACATATACATACACATGCATGCACAGACACACACACACATTATATGCATGTACACTCAACTCCTTCCAGCACACTTATAACTTGTTGACATCGCACGGAAACAGCAGCTGCAACAGGCAAGCCTTGCCGGCGAAAATCCTATCCTAGACCCTGAGCCCTAGACCCTTAAGCCTCAGACCTGAATAAGCCTGAGCCCTAAACCCTAAACCCTACACCGTAAACCTCGAAGCTCAGGCCCCAGTGGGAGGATCAAGCTGCGTTTGAACCCCGTTGCATCCCTGAACCCTGAACCCTAGACCCTCAATCCCAAACCCGAAACGCTCAACCTTCCACCCTCAGCCTACGTCCTGTGATCCTGCAAGAAACTAGGTTGGATTTTGGGACATTTTTATTTTCCTTATTTGGGTTTATAAGGGACCCTATATATAAATATTTTTCAGGGTGGTTAAAGGCCAACCCAGGAAAGAGCGGATCGTTGGTGCAAGATGGCGTGTCTGCAGTGCAAGAGTTTTAACACTTTCGGTAGCTGTTTGTTCTAGGAGGGTTCTGGAAGAGGTCTATGAGGGTACTAGAAGGGTTCGACAAGGTCCACATCAAGGGTTTTGGGTTACTTGGGATAAGCAGCATTGAGGGGTTCCTTGCTATGAAGGCTTAGGATCCGAAAAGCCTCAGAAACTCTGACCTGTAGCTGCAAAAAAGCCTAAACATGCAGGAGACCCCAGATTCTGCGCCCTCAGCTCTGTCCCTAAACCCTAAAGGCCTCGAGCTCGAAACCCCCGATTGGGGTTGTAGGGTGCATGGTGTAGGGTTCAGGTTTAGGGCAAGCTCTCCACAACCGCATGGATGCCAACAACCCTAAACCCTTATTAAACCCTCAAACCTTCCAAGGACCTCTTCAGCCGCATGGATGTCAACAATGATGGAGTGGTCTCTCGTGAAGAGTTCGAGAAGGCTATGAAGGCCCCTGCACCCATGAGCTGCACCTGGTTGCGGGGGAGCCAGGCAGAACCCCTGTATGAATTGAAACCTCGGAAACCAATTCTAGATTCTAGATACATAAATTATGTAACATAATGTTCGGCTTCTATCTTGGTAATCAGCCCTTCATTTTTAGCCAGGTGGGGGCGAGTGATAACAGCTCTAGTCTTCCTTCTTCAACAGGATGAATGGTCAAGGGGATGTTTAGAGCTTGCCAGACCTCAGACCCGAAATCCCTAAACCCCACGCAACCCTAAATCCTAAACCCTAAACCCTAAACCCCTAAACCCTAAACCCTAAACCCCACGCAACCCTAAATCCTAAACCCCTACACCCTAGAAGCCCCAAGCCCTAAAAGCCCCAAACTCCAAACCCAAAACGCAGGAGAGCCAGTATACAGAAATCTTTGAACGAACCCTTGAAGGAACCCAGGCATGACGCCCCAGCTGCGTCACCAGGATTCAAGGTTTCGGACTTAATTACGCCTCAGGCTTAGCTTTCCCAGAACCTCCCGGGAGGATCCAATAGTTAGATCGCTTAGTGGGGTTCCTGTAGTTAGGGCCCCAAATTAGAGGATCTACTTTCTAGATCCTCTGAGGGGGTTCTGGGAAGAAACTCGTTGTGTGAATTCACGGTATCTGATCCATCCATACTGTCACCGTCTTCTGCTCTTTATCGGACCTTGAACATTGAACCTTAAAACTCAAGTCCTCAACCCTCAACCCTAAAGCTTTCTTTCTGGAAGTCATCTTTTTTCTCGGGGCAGCAGCTCTTCCACTCTGAGAGGGGAACTTGTGCCTCAACCTAAACACTCAACCGCACCCCGTCGAATCCTTAACCCTAAAACCCTACTGGCTTGAACCCTAAACTCTAAACCCTAAACCCTAAACTCGAACCCGGAACCTCTAAACCCTAAACCCCTATACGTAAGCCCCAAGCCTAAACATGTCCCATTTCTTGGAAAGGCAGGGGACTTAGTAAGTAGGTTATAAGTAGGGTTATAGTTGGGGTAACTCCATTTAGGGTACTTATAACCCTACTTATAACCTACTTACTAAGTCCCTAAACCCTAAACCCCATAGATCCCTGTAAGGAACCCTATAGATCCCTTTAAGGAGCCCTTTAAGAGCCCTTACTAAGTCCCCTGCCCTTCCCATTTGGCGACCTTAAGGCTCCCGGCCCCAAGCTGCATTTTGCACCTCAGAAAGACCGAAGCGCCTCAGCCCGAAGCCGTAAGCAGACCTGTGCCCCATGCCTTGTTACCAACAAAAGAGATCCGAACTAAAAGCCCAAAGGCAAAAACGCCAGATCACTTCTACAATTTGCACTCACCCTTTGTGGAAATCTGGGGTAGAACCCCAAGCCCCGTACCATCAAAGCCCCAAGACCCCTACCGGGAGGCGGTGCCGTGAACGCCGGAGTCTCAAAACGTTGCATTCGAGCTTTTGCAGGGGGCGTCACGATAACTCTAAACCCTAAACCCCAATACCTAAACCCTAAACCCTAAACCCTAAGCCCTAAACCCTAAACCCTAAACCCTAAACCCTAAACCCTAAACCCCAATACCTAAACCTGAAAGTTCCAGCTTTAGCTTCCCCGTCACGACTCTCAATACCATGTAAAATGTGCGGTCTGAAAAGCTGAAAGTCATATACCACCCCAAGCAGTACGCCGCTTAGTCAGGACCCGATACCAGCTATACCAGGTTTAACAGCTTCAGAAAACAAGGGACCACAACGTAGCCCCTTGCAAAGTAGAACCGCATAGTTCTTTGATTGAAATTTTGGAGGCCTCCTACGTAAACCCCAACCCCTGTTATCCTGGCCGCGATCCTCTAGTAGCCCTTACGGCCTAATCCCTAAACTCTTTAGCAACCCTTACAGAACTGCTTTAGTACTCCTTATGGAACCCCTTTAGAAAGCCTTATAGAATCCTTTAGTAACCCATATACAACCCCCTAAGTAACTCTCATAGACCACTTTTGTAAGCCTTCTAGAACCCCTAAACTTCAGCTTTAGGGACCTCGGATTCCCTTCTTCGACTGTTGTCACAGTTTCGATGCCCGGCACGCGCCTGATCAAGAACGCCCGAACGAAACATGGAAGTCGAACAGACCACTAAGAATCATAAGTGTGCATAGGACAAATATACATTTACATACGCATATACATGTAGATGCACATGCTTGTAGATGCACATGTGCATGTACATGTGCATGTACATATACATAGAGATATAGATATACCTATACCCAGACCTATACCTGTACCTAGACCTAGACCTAGTCCTAGACATAATATATGTATATATGTATATATATGTATATATATATATACATATATATATATATATATATATATAATTTATATGTCGATATATGCATATGTGCGTCTATGTATGTATATACATGTGTAAAGCCGGGAAACAATTGTGGGTATATATGAGAACATACACGGGAAGATGTAGAAGTGATGCGGCCAAGCATCTCGACCGCAAAGCTTGGGAAGCTGCTGCAGTTCAGGGCCAAAGGTGGGTGAGCTTTAGGGTTGAGGGCTACCGTCTAGTGTTTACGGCCTAAGGTAGAGACCAACCTTAAACCCTTAAACCCTAAACCTTGAATCCTAGACCTTAAACTCCGAATTCTAAACCCTAAACCCTGAATCCTAAACCCTACACCCTGAACCCTAAGCCCTGAATCCAAAACCCTAAACCCTTAAACCCTGAACTCCACACCCCCACATCCCAGACCCTAAACCCTAAACTCTGAATCCTAAACCCCAGACCCTAAACTCTGAATCCTAAACCCCAGACCCTAAACCTTAAATTGTCTGAATCCTAAACCCTAAACCCTAGAGGCCTCCGCCCACCAGTGCCTTCTCGTGAGATTGGTCCCGGTGGTCTTCTAGCGCCGGTCCGGGCCTCGGCGTGGAGGTCGTTAGTATTATAGGATCCTTAAGGGAGGGTGGTTCAAGGGGGGAGGGTATAAGGAATCCTTAGGGGACTGTAAGGGAACCTTAGGGAGTACTAGGGAGAATTAGGGATAGTAGCGTTGAGGGTTGGGGGTTCAAGGCTTTGGGGTTTAGGGTTAGAGGGTTTGGGAGTTTGCGGTTTAGGGTTTAGGGGTTTAGGGTTTTGGGCTTGGAGTTTGTGGGTTTTTGGGGGTTTGGGGTTTATGGTTTAGGGCTTCGGGTTCGGGTTTGGGGTTCGGTTAGGGTTTGGGTTTTGCGGTTTGGGGTTTAGGGCTGGGGTTGGGGTTTGGGTTTTAAGGTTTAGGGTTGAGTGTTTGGGGAGTGCATTCTGTTACCTGTGTCATACGTAGGCAACGTAGTTTGCTAAGAGTTAATAGGATTGTTGTCGGACGGTCTGCCATGTTCCGTCAACAGAAGGGTTTCTTCGACTTCATTGCGCAGAAGTGCATGGCGTAGCATGACAAGCTGTAGATACTGGCACAAAGTCTCGTGTGGCCGTGTGCGCAGTCTATCGTCTCATAGATCCTATGGTGTGCGATCGAAAATGCTGTATTTAGTGGTGCGCAGCAGAACGCACTTGCATGTAGGTTCTGTGTATTGGTACGCCGCAAAGTAGCCCACACAAAGCAGTATGCAGACATTTTTGTATGTAATCGTAACCAGCAGGGCATGGTGCTTTTGACTACAGTGTTTCTAAGTGTTTGGTAGTGTAAAGAAGTATACACGTGGGTTGCGCAACGGAGTAAGTTGTCATGCATTATTGCATTACGACATGCTGTCCTATGACACATCATGGTGTATTACAGCATGTATTGGCATAACGTCTGATTGCTTGTAACGACCAACCATGCGAACAGTACAGTGTAAACGTAAGCTTTTCTACAGGCAAACCCTTCGCACTCTATGAACCCTAAACCCTAAACCCTAAACCCTGAACCCTAAACCCCTAAACCTCAACCCCATAAGCCTTAAATCCCAAAACCCCCAAAACTCTGAGAGACCCAAAGCCTGAACCCTGAAACCCAAAACCCCAAAAACCCCAAAAGCCCCCCACGCCCCCAAAAGGTCTGAAAGGCTGAAAGGCCCCATGACCCTGCGAAGCATTTCGGCATGTCGGGTTTAGTGCAGGCTATTTGGCTTTTAAGGTATGTTCCGTCATTCATCAGGGCCTGCAAAAACCGGCGAGGAATCCTAAACCCTAGACCCTAAAACTGAAACCCCTAAACCCAAAGCCCTTAAGATTCTATCTCTGGGCCAGAGGGTTTCCAGAGACTCCAATATCCTTGAATCAAGGAATGTACTTCAAATCATAACTGGATCCCTAACATGATTTAAGGAATATTCCTTATACAGGGGATATTGGAGTCTCTGGGCCCTAAACCCTAAACTGAACCCTAAACCCTAAACCCTAAACCCTAAACCCTAAGCCCTAAACCCTAAACCCTAAACCCTAAACCCAAAACCCTAAACCCTAAACCGTAAACCCTAAACCCAAAACTCCTTTCAAGCTTTCCCAGATCCCAGGTCGCTGCCCGGGTTTTGCTCTGAGCCGGGGTAGGCGGCGGTCGTTTCGATGAGGCTCTGAGGGTGTGCGTGGCAGCATGCCTCGCGTAAGAGTTCATACGTTGATGATATAAATCCAGCAGTACCCAGAATAAGGAATATACCATAATTCCCATAGGTTAGGGTCCTTAAGTTATTGCAGGATAGGATTTATATCATCAACCGTAGAAGGGCTACTGTAGCATACTGTTAGATCCTGAGGGCTCCTGTTTATGGGTTTAGGGTTCAAGGTTTTGGGGTTTAGGGTTTCAAGTTTAGGGTTTAAGGTTTTAGGGCTCCTGTATATGGGTTCCTACAGATTTTAGGGCTACTGGAAGACACGATACATGGCAATCAGATGAGTTTGGTTGCCTCAGTGGCTCGAGTGTGGCACGTCGCCCCGACCTCATCTGATCATTTTGCTGCTCAATGCTTGCTAACAAACTTGCACGCCTACATTGAAAAAGTGCGTGCTGAGATCCCTAAACCCTAAACCCTTTTCCAGCTCTTGGTTGACAGGAGGAATATGCTCTGTTTTTCCATAAACATGTCCTCCCTCGCCCACCTTGCGCTAACCCCTAAACTCTATAAACTGGGAACCCTAGCTAGGCCTTAGCTACTCTTCACTGAGCTGGGACATGCTGAGAAAATCAATCAGGTATTGCCCCTTCGAGCAGTTGAGTGTGCCTCGAGATAGTCTTGCACTGAGCTACTTCTAGCTTCGGAAGGCGCGCGGATGTAATCACCTTATTATCAGTCTGTACGGAGCTTTTTAAAACACATAGGTGGTTGTCAAAATTAGGGTCCCTTTTGGGGTACCTTAAATATTAGGTGCCGTACTATAATAGGGACCCAAAAAGGGACCATAATTTTGACAACCACCCACGTGTTTGACCTAGCAAGGCATCCATCAGAAGGCTTAAACCCTAAACCCAAAATCCCTAAAGCCTCCCTGTGTTCGGGCGTCCGTCTTGTGAAGCAGACTCCGTCTGCTGTACCGGGGAAACTTCGCCGGCCGGCGTAAGCCCCAAATGCAGGGTATTAGTACCATTCTATTTGGGAGTTTCCGTAAATTAGGGGTCCTTATTTTGGGTCCTGATAATAAGGATCCTACTGTTCAGGCCATTATATTAGGGTCCCCTATTTTCGGAAACTCCCATGTTTTTTTAGGTTCCGTGATGTAGATATAGTATAAGAGCCCTCGGAACCCTATTCCAATTAGGAAGGTCCCTATATCTCGATGTTGAGGGTTTAGTGGGGCGCTATCTTCATTCTCATTGTTGTTGTTATTGTTATGATTGAGTAATAATGATAGTCCGTGCTACCGTGGTCTATAGGGTTTCCGAGTGGATCCCTGCATCTGTTCTTGCAAAGCCGGCTGGCCCAGAAGTGAGAGATGTAGATGGCAAGACTTCTGTCACAACTTATTTCAAGTTCACTGACTTGAAAGGTTGCTCGGAGACATAAACTGCTAAGAGCGTGCTGCCACCTGACAGCGACTCGTGCCCACTCTGCTCAGTCCTTCGTGGAGGACCGAATGCAGCTGTCTGAGTAGGATGGAAGGACTCGCAAAGAAAGCCAGATTCACTGCTAGCTATAGGCCTGAACCGCAGGAGATCTGTTATATGTGTACTTATACATACATGCATACGTACATACATACATCCACGCATGCATACATACATACATACATACATACATACATCGTACACATATGCACGCACACAAACCATATGCTGCAAAGTATAACATGTGTAGCTAACATGTTATACGTACGTTCTTGTACACACTACGTTCCGGCTTTGTGCCGCAATCCTAACCGAACCCTAAACCCTAAACCCTAAACCCTAAACCCTAAACCCTAAACCGTGGTTCCTGGCTACGGTTCAGAGTTTTGGCTT